AGCACCAACTTTCCTTGCGGTAGATGAAGCTATTGATTCAATGTATTTATTCCACCTCATGTCAGGGGACAGCATGAAACCAAACAGGCTTAACGAGGCGCTCTCGAGGAGTTGGGCAACAGCTATTCTGATGGGAGGCAGGGAGGGTTCTTTGTGGTGGGTCTAAAAGAAATATTTCTGTTTCTTAGTACTTTGCTTATCTTTGGTATGTATCTTTAGCTAAGCCAATGCGCATTTGAATTTGAAGATTTGCATCCTGCATTAAAACCCTTCCTCTATTGAATTTTTGGTAAATATAACTATTTGAAAATTTCATGGGTAACAGCAAATCAGCGATGACGAAGACTAAATGGCGAGTAGAAAGTTGCTCATAAAAATAGACTTATTTTTCTTACATGTTAGGCTCTGGAATTCATTTCGGTGGAGTGTTGTACCTTCAAAACAATGCTACATTTTCAATGATTTAATATTGATTATTGATATCTGCTTCTTTTACATATCCGCTACTTGTTCTCTATTCTTTGCATAATATATAAAACGCAATTTATAGAATGAGTTTTTCAACAGAGGTTTGAGCCTGTGTTATCAAAATACAGCGTCGCTCTCGACTTCGAGCTACGCTTGAAAGTTGAGAAAGGCTGTTGTCAGCGCATTAAATTTTCCACGATATAATAACGATTGATAATTCCAAACTTCGAAAGAAATATTTATATTTCACTGAAAGAAACATGATATTTTACGACCCAGAAAATGTTTGGAAAAATCGATACGTTTTATTAAAAATATTGCAAATTAATTTTGACTACTCGTTTTAAATTGTGATGAAAGAGAAATAATACGATCGAATTTCGAAAACTGATACGACATTGAAAAATGGAGTTTTTTTCTTCTTTTTCTTATGATTAATCATTTCCAGGCTAAAATTATATCCAAACTAGTTAACGCCGGTTTAAAAGACTGGATACATAAATATATTTTCCAATTATATTAGGAGCACCGATTTTCCATCAACCCAGGTTCCAGAACTGTACTGAATTATCCGTTTAGCCGGATCAACGAATGGCACTTAAATACGATTTAATAATTGCATCTCTGACCCAGTAAATATGCATCCCTCGTATCCATCAATATTTATAAACTATTATGAAACATAAGCCGTCGGTGACTGAGTGGGGGGTGATTTGGATAGCTGCTCGTGAAGTCGGGAAACCGAGTTCGTATTTCAGTCGAGTTTCACTATTTTCGCAAGACTACCCCTGAGAAAGATATCAATCCTTCTCTTCGTCATCCCTCCATCCACTATGAATAGAACGGACGTTTTTTCTGGAAGAAGATGCATATGCATAATCCCAGTTCCTACTCCACCAGATATACAGCAAGACATTCTTTGCAACTTGGAGAGGTTAATGGTGTTGTATTTTTTTTACGTGTTTTTTTCTATTGCATTGTGCTAAACAATTCATTTTTCTTCACCTGTGATCGTTCTTTTCAAGTACAGATCTTTTTTGTTTCGTTTTAGAAGAGACTCGACCATGCAAATGCTGCCTAGTTAAATTCTGACGAATCCAAACAACGTAAAGATTCATGTATCTAAGTGTTTTCGAAATGCCTTATAAAGCTCATCGGGTATGTAGTGTATCTCTGTCATGGTCCGTGTCGAGTGGGTTGGGTTATTTTTAATCAGCATATCAGTTTCGTCTTCACCCATGACGGCAGGCCTGTTGGAACGTTTTCCAGATAAGAATTTCCACTACTGAACTGATAAAACAACTTAGGAATAGTGGTCCCAGGTAGATTAACATTACCCTAAACAGCGTAACGTTTGCATAACGTTTTTTTTTTCAGTAATAAAAGAGCATCAAGTAACAAAAATACATTTATTTTCCTTCTGTTTACATTAAATTTCACAGGTCGCATACGAATATAACCTTTCAGAATACGTATAAATATTATAAATTTCAGTTACACACACACACACACACACACACACACACACACACACACACACATATATATATATATATATATATATATATATATATGCAGGCACATATACCCCATGAAAAACAATTGCACCAGTAAAAAGTGCATATAAAAGAAAAATCGAGAAGTATAACCAGTCAATTGCTGATATCCTCAGACGAGTGGACGCTGAAGGTAACATCACTCAGCTAAATGACAAAACTGTTACTTCCATTGATTCTCTCTCTCCTCTCTCTCTCTCTCTCTCTATATATATATATATATATATATATATATGAATGTGAATATTTATATACGCTTTATACCTTATATTGAGCACTTTTCCTCATAAATATAACGTAGTGATTATTGTGCTTTCGGCGAACTTCTTGAAAATGGCTAATAAATTGTCCGAAAGCGCTTACGACAAGAACAAGTATTGACTGCTTCTACAATATCTTAGTCCCCATAAAAGAAAAATTGTAAGAACATTAGAAGAACTCAATAAAAAAAGTTATAAGTTCTTCCTTGTCCGTCACATTCAACACGGAACATGTATAAAAAGAATGCTGGCCACAAATTCAATATATATATATATATATATATATATATATATATATATATATATATAGAGAGAGAGAGAGAGAGAGAGAGAGATGTTGGTTGTAGTTGTATGTGTATGCCTGTAAGAATATTTTATTGCATGTAACAGAAAAATGATATATAATCTATTATGCTTTTTAGTAAGATTTTCCTGGTCTCGAGTTAAATGTATAAACATTATAAAATAGCATCAAAATTAGAGGCGATAGCTGAGTCCGTTTCGCCTATCGCTGGTCGTTATTAAAGAAAAGAGATTAAAAATCCCAAAATAATAATCTCTTTCGAAAATCTTTTTTTTTTTTTAATTCTGTGAGCTCATGTGTGAAAATACCCTTAAATATATTTAGAACGTTCTATTTCGAAATCATGATACGTGCAAACACGTCTTAACTTATAAATTTCAAACTGACAATAACGCAGACACCATATTGCAATTTTGGGGCTTTTAATCTATTTTCCTTCATAGCTACAAGTGATGGTCGGATTTCAGCCATTGTAAGTCAGCTTTGGGAAAGGGAAGATAATTAAGTAATGCAAAATTCTTTGAAACAAGGAGTTGGAGAAGAAGAAGAAGAAGAAGAAAAAGAAGAAGAAGAAGAAGAAGAAGACCGTCTTAGAGAATTTAACTCGTTTATTTAAATAAGGTATCCTTATAGCAATAGAAAATACCTTCTTTAGCCATTTTGTATGGTGTATCGAGAAAAAAATAAAATTATTTTTGTTTCCACCGATCGTTATTTGATAAATATTTGAAAACTGACCACTTTTTTCAACACCACATGTTCCATTGCCTGTTCGTGTAAAGAGATCTCACCAATATAACAAACTTGACAGCTAGCGCATTGAACTTTATATACGACGGTGCGCTATAGAATCAATTGGTGTTTTAGCTGAAAAAAAAAGAATCAATTTTCTGACTTGTGGAAATAATCCTAGGCTACCATATTGACCAAATAACTAGTTTTAAACTGAAGACTTTTTAGAACAGTTCCCCACGCATTAAAGTTGTATCTACTCTTCCCATTTTTGATTTATTTTATTTTTTTATTTATATAGAAATACATTTTTTATGGAAGAATATCTTGGATAAGCATGGATGGAAACTGTTTTTTGTAACATGTACCAACATTCAATTAAAAAAATGATTTTTGTTTTCCCTTTTATCGTGTCGTGGCTTCGGGAATTTTTTAATTTAAAATATAAATACAAGGCATTGGTATTTCCAAATTTCGAAAAATATATATAATCGAATATTGGTATTGTTTAGTGTCTGATGTTGTATATCTGTCACTATATTCGAACAGAATACCCAACACTGGTATCCAATCTATCTCTACTCGATACAATTATCCTTTTTCACATTTAATGTTGGGAAGCTTTTAAAATATCTGCTACACCTCTGTAGTTGAGGAAGCTGTCTAATTTTCTTTGAAAAAAGTAGCAAATGTTCGATTCTATGCAAAAGCCTGTGTATTTCGAAAGCTGATTTTCAAAGTTGACACGCTCTCTATACTCAGGAGATTGGTCCAACGCAGTTTTACAGCATATTTTGTATCCGCGCATTATTTGGTTTTGGGTCGAACTAAGATAAGCTTCGAAAATATCTATCTATCTATATATATATATATATATATATATATATATATTCAACTTTCTACGTGGGAACACTGACAAAAAATATTGACATTTCAATAATGTAATGGCAGTTATAAAGAAAATCTGTTACGAGAAAAAAAGGAACGAACGAAAGAGAGAAGGATAGAAGAAAACAAAGAGAAATGGAGTAAAATAAGACTGGACAATTGTCCATATATAGATCTTAAGATATAAAAACGTGTAGGAAACAAAATTTGGAAAGAGAATAGAATTATCGAATACGTAAGAATAGAATGGAAAGCAAAGAAAAATAACGGCTGATTTGTAAGTACTTGATAATAATAATAATAATAATAATAATAATAATAAAAAAAATAATAATGACAATAATAATAATAATAAAAGCAATAATAATGACAATAATAAATAATGAGAAATACCTCAGTAATTCCAGTTATGGTTGAAAACCTCGGTTTGATTGGAATAGGTTCTGAAACTCATTTAAGGGATTTCTAGTAGTCCATGCCTTAAAGAAATACAAAAAGTTGTTTTCACAAGTACAGTTAACACCTTACAAAAGGCTTTATCAATGTAAAATGAGGTTAAAAAATATTCAGTTAAAATGTCATTATGCGATTTATGACATTACGTCTCTAGTTGGGAGCCGGAAGGAAATGAGTATACAACGGAAATTAGAGAAAACAACAACAACAACAACAGGCAATAATAATAATAATAATAATAATAATAATAATAATAATAATAATAATAATAATAAATTGAAAAATTAAAGAATTGAAAAAAAAAATGTAAGAGAAAACTAAGAGACGTGTTTCTCATTAATGACATTGTACAGTCCCTAAACGTTTTGCAAAGGGATTCAAGAAAAGAAACTGAGGAAGAACTACGGAGAGAAAGAATGGAAATAAAGCCAGAAAAACGAAGGAAAGAAAGGACGAAATGTGGAGTGAAAAATAAAGAAGAAGGAATCTGTTGTGAAAAAAGAAGGAAGAAAGATGAGAAAAAAAAGAGATGAAAGAATATTTCGAACGAATGTGGGATGAGAGGAATGAAAGAAACAAAGCGGGAATAAAGTAAATTATGGAAGGAAATGGGAAGATCAGACGATAAGATAGAGAGTAAGTGAAAAGTATATCAGTTGGGAAAACTGAGAAGAAATGATTAGAAAAATATCGTTAAAAGGATGACTGTAATGGAGTGTGGGCAAAAGAAATGAAACTCCAAAAAATGGATAGGAAATTGACAAGTACAATTGGAAAGAAATAACGACTAAAGAATGAATGTAATGTAGGAAGAAGTTATAGCGGAAAGATGGAAAAGGGTTCAAGGAAAAACGGAAGAAAGGATAGAAATGAAAGGAAGAAAATCTGGAGGGGAAATGGGATGAAAAGGGAGGGAAAGAAAAAAATAGAGGAACGGAAATAACAAAGAAAGGATGGTGGGCTAGATTTGTTTTTTTACGGCTTATCAACCCTTTATGGATTATTTAAAGGCGAAACATATTTCGAATTGTAGGAGGATGTACCTGATGTTCCAAAGCCGTCCTCCATCTAAGTACTAACCGTCCTCGACGTCGCTTAACCGCGGTCATCGAACGAGGGATGTTGGGAAAATGGGAAGAAAATTTGAAAGGAAAGTCTGATTGATTTAAAAATGTAAGACATGATTGGAGAAAAAAATCAAATGACGGAGGGAAAGTGCTAGAACATTTGGAAATAAAATAGTCAAAAGTAATTGAGGGAAAGGGAAGGAAAGGATGACAGGAAATGGAAATAACATCTGGAAGGATAATGGGGAAGAGCTATAGAAAGAAAACCAAAAACTAAATGGAGAGAAAGTGATGAGAAAATCTGGAAGTACATTGTATAGAAAGAATGAGTGAAAAGTTGGAAGAAAGGATGGATGGATGGAAATTGTGAAGAATGGCTGTAAAGAAATAAGGGAGAATTAAAGGAAGGAAAATGGGAAGACTATTTGTAATAAAATTAGAAAGAAATGATGAAAAGAACGTGGAAAGGAAAATCGAAAAAACTCGTTATGTAGGTTTTATTCGCTGCTTCATTCTGCTGTGAGATTTAAAGTCACCGGGCTTTCTGTTCACAAAGTTTTTGATATTAAATCATCCTCTTTACTGCATGGGATTCTTAGCATTTATCAGTAGAGACACCACATCTTAACTTCATCTTCTTCATCTTTTCTTTATCTGTGAAGAAAAGGGACACTTATAGTCAGAATCAGAAAGAGACAGGTGATATCTTTTAGACGCAATGAAGAAAGAGGTTTTGGAGAATTTGACACTCACATGATATATTAATGGCAAGAAGGACAAAGGGAAATGGTGAGTTACCTACGTAACAAACCTATGTACGGGGATGGCAGAACAAGGAATGGGATGGCTAGTAAAAAAAAACATTGCTAAGAGCTACAAAAGATAGGAAGGTGTGGAGAGTCATGATAGCTTAAATAGAAGAAGATACTACATAGCTGTCCAGCACGCATTTTTGTTTCTAAGAAATCCCTTAATACTTTGTTCAATTTCTGAAAGGCACCGTTCGATTTGAAACGTTAATCAGCCAAACAATACTACAGTCACACACACACACACACACACACACACACACACACACACACACACACACATATATATATATATATATATATATATATAAGAAAGGGGTTATAGTGGTTCCAACAAGAGAAAAGTGTGTATATTAAAAAGAAGAGAGGTACCGCAAACGTTTTTGGTTGTAATGTGGATTAAAAAAAAATATTATGCTTTATTTTCCATAATTTTACTACACGTGTTTCCGGTCTCGCGACCGTCTTCAGGTAAAAGGCGGAGATTTCCACATATTATTAAAAATAATTAATTTTTTTCCTTTTATGTTTTTCGATGTTAAATATTCTCGATATGAGACATTATCTGTTTTTGTGTTAGTAATCCGAATGTCTTTCTTGAATTGGCAGTGAAGAGTTCTGCGCGAAGGGTCATAAAACAATTAAGGTTGGTCCAAGAGAAATGATGAATTACTTATCGGCATTTTATCTTTTAATGTTTTAATGACGCCTGTGTAGACAAAAAAGAATTAATAAGAGAAAGCCAGAGAGGAGGAAGAGAGAGAAAAGAGGGGGAGAGAGATTAACAACGGGTGAATAGGAGAAAAAAAAAATGGAAAGAATAACAATTTCGAAAGAAACGTTTATAAATTTGTTCCATTCACATCAACAGATTTCACAAGATGGCCGATATATCTAAAAGTAGAAATTGTTTCAGCCATCTTTGAAAATTGCTTGTTTGACAACAGTAAGAAAAGAATACAAATAATTCATGTTTTATCTTCCGAAAATCACCTTTCGCTTATCTGCCTAAGAATTTGAAACTATAATGCATCTATCTTTTTGTTTCTATACATACATCACTAAATATTCATCCAAAAGAAAGCCCAAGAGCCACTCAAGCTAGATGATTACTGAGCTTGTTGTATGAATGAAGAAATAAGTGCAGATTATGAGGATTTATTGAAATGCGCATTGGCCTGGTATAATGGTTGGTAAGCTTGTCGCTCTAGACCAATTACGTCTGAAAAGTGAGTTCGATTCTAATTGGGTGCTACATGCATTTGGCCTTGTGCCAAATCTAAGCTACGCTTAGTAAATCGCTATGAGGATTTGTTGAATAGATAACTGTAGAATCCAGACTTGAAGAGGTTAATATTGTAATGATTGGGGAAGCATTATCTCGGGAATCTCTTCTCCAAAGCAGTGGTTCTCAGGGAGAAGCTGAGTGAACTTTTGTCCTAACCAATGCGAAATGATGTGAATGAGGATGATTCGACATTGTGTACGAAATTTGCTGGGTCTTAGTTGTAAGGGTCTGAAATTTGTCTTCGATATAATGAAAGACCAACGATAAGCTTCTGGCGAATGATTCACTGCCTACAAGGCAGCGTAAAAAAATGAACTCTGTCAAGCCCGGAAATTGAGTATTGGATAGCTCCATTCCAGGTGTGTGTGCGTGTGTTGCGAGAAAGCCAAATTTGCAATAACATTGAAACTAAAATTTTTTTACCAACCAATGTTATGACGACAAATGCATACCGTCAGTTCTTATTATGCAACTATTTTTCAGTGATACAGTGGCATATGGCGCCAGAAACTGAAAAAGGTGTTAGCTGTGTCTCGTCCACAAATCGAATCCAACAGTAGCTTCAAGAAAGAAAGAAGGGGAAGATGACAGGAGAAAAAAAGAAGAAGAAGAAGAAGAAGAAGAAGAAGAAGAAATTGTGTCTTGCACATTAGCTGCAAGGTAAAAAAGAACTATGCATATGGACAACGCCATCCGGGGAAAGCTGGACAGCAGTGAGCTCAACAAAAGCGGGATCGTATTTTCATTAACTTTCTTAAAACCAAAACTGAAAAGGATCCAACAACACCTTTTTTTTTAAAATTTCTCTCCAAGCAAGTCACTAAGACGCAAGAGGTTACTGAGTGTGAAAGGATATGAGAAAAAGAAAACATTATTAAGGGGAGAGAACAATAAAAGAACTGGATTTCAGAAAACAGAAGATAGCGATTGGCACTGCATTTAAATTTTTGAAGATTAATGTTGACTTGAAAATAAAAAGCCGGAAACGATGAGGAGTGAAAGAGAAGAAACTATTAGCATAGAACTTACGGTTACATCTAGAAATTTCAACTGTAAAATGATGAGAGGTTGCTGCCAGTCTATTAGCACGCTTAAATTCATAAAGTCCAGGTACCAAAGAGAAAAGCTACCCAGAACAATGACCATGGAAATAAAGATAAGAGGGAAGTTACGTTACGGTGACAAGAAAAAGATTTTGATGTAACTTATTTATGAATAAGATGATGACGCTGAAACAAAAGATGATTTAAATTCTTTCAGAACGATCGTTCATGATAGAGATTAAATCCTACACAATGACACCAAGACACTACTTTACGGAGTCTCTGAAGGACAGAATGGTGCAAGAATGCGGTCGGGTAGCGCTAGAAGCATATGCACACTTAAATTATTCTCTGGCAAGAAAGCTATACGATGGGCATTGTTGGGAGCCAGCGAAAGCACAATGTCAATTATTGATGTCAAGGGCACATTCAGAAGCAAGCATCCATCACAGTTCTTGCTGTTGGGCATCGCACAATACAAAAGCGAAAATTATAACTTCTCGGCTAAATATCATTGCATTGAATAGATAACCAGGATGTTTGACGAATGGTTGCTCAAGTGTTGGTCAAATTTTCGAGTACGTTTTGAGGTTGTCTTTGAAAAATAATGGAAAGCATATTACATAAATGATTTCCTTTAAAATTATCTAGGCCTATTGCTTCCCCGCCATATATATATATATATATATATATATATATATATATATATATATATATATATATATATATATATAAAAGTATGTGTTGCAGTTCAATATACATCATTACATGAATAATTCATCCAAAAACAGATATAGAAGTTAATGATTTAAATGACGAGAATATTTCTTCGCAAACAAATTTAATAAAGTACATTAACCCCGAACCTGTATATGAGTGCTATGATCCCTGTTTATAAATTCCAATTGCATAAGGTCTTTTTTAGTTTTTACAAACTTTCGTCTGTTCCTACAGATATATATATATATATATATATATATATATATATATATATATATTTGGTTGGATAGATGTGAGTTTGTCAAACTCACATCTATCCAACCAAATATGTTAGCTCTATCTCTGATATTGAGCGCTTTCTAATAAGTACCGCGCATATAATATATAAATAATTATACATATATATATATATATATATATATATATATATACTTTTCACACACACACACACACACACACACACACACACACACATATATATATATATATATATATATATATATATATATATGAATAAAAAAGATATCGCACATTGGGTGCTGGTTGTCTCAGCTTAGCACATGAAGATTGCATCGTGCATGAAACTCCGAGTAGCGCTATCGGTGAATAATATATATATATATTTCTACATACTCTATGTCCAAAAAAGAAAACACTTGTTGGAACAAAAGAAAAATTAAAATAAAAAGGTTAATCGTCGTACTTTGTTATTTTTTAATGAAACATGCATAAATGAAGGATTGCTGTCTAAATACACAATATAAATATATGTGTGTGTGTGCGTGCGTGTGTGTGTGTGTGTGTGTGTGAGAGAGAGAGAGAGAGAGAGAGAGAGGAGAAAAATAATTTAGGTAGCAATGCCTCGCTAATAAATGTTTCGTTAAAAATGACAAACAAGTTTAAGTTATTTAATAATTTTTTCTTGTATGCGAACAAGAGATTTCTTTTTTTATCTCAATGAATGTCGCAATTGTCCAATTCTTCGACTAGTTACGAAAAAATCCTTGGAAATGGAGTCTTTGTTCATATCTATCTATCTATCTATCTATCTATCTATCTATCTATCTATCTATCTATCACAGACTGTTTCTATCTATCTATCTATCTATCTATCTATCAAAAACAGCTCATCTATATTCCCAGCTGTACATCTCTATCTACATTTTAACAAACAATGCCTTCCCAACAAAAAGCCAAAAGCCACAACCTTGTGCAGGCGATGAGAATGTTTTATACAAATCGAATAAGGTCGATA